TTAAGAATCTTTGATCCATCCTTATGTAAGGAAGATGGAGAGGTGACTTCCCTGAGGTATCTTCAAGTCCTACGTTTATGGGATTCAACAAATGAGATAGTTAAAATTGTCTGAAGTGTTAATCCATTATACTTTGTCCTGCTATGTATGTTGCTGTTTATTCTCAATAATTTTGTACCAGAAAAACAGTTTTCTGTATTCATAGCTGTCAAATACAAGGAAGGCTTTTCTCCTCTGAAACCTGTTCCTTTTCAGATGCTTAATTTCAGAAACTTAGAGTTGCAGCATGCCTTTTGTACGTAACGTGTATGGGCTGGGTATATCAGAATCATGGTTTTTTAAAAGTACACAACTGAATTATCTTGAAGTTAAGAGTGCGTGTTTCTGGATTTGTGCATGATATTGCAGTAGTCTTTAGGGTTAGTGTTACTCTGAGAAAATTAATGTTCCTTGTAACCTCTTTGGTCAGCTAGTACAAATATTGTTAAACACTGAATAATTAATTTCAAGTTGTATTTAAACTTTAGATGTTTTCTGAATTACTATGGTAACTAGGAGCTCAGTTTCCTAATTAAACTATATGAATCTGGCCTTCAAGGGCTTCATTTAAGAGGTTGTGTGTTTGTGTGGGGTTTTTTTTGTTGTTGGTTTTGTTTTTATTTAAACTAGATCTGGCTCCTGATAATCCAGTTTTGTGTATTAACGAGACACAGCATGAGACAAATTATTTTGAGTTGTGGTAAGGGAGAGAGGAAGAAAAAAAAACACTTCATAATATCTTTGGAGAGTATCTTCCAAATTTTCTGAATATCCTTAGCTGCATATTGAGCTGTGTGTGCCAGCCTGTAGTGAGCAGTTTGGGAAAAGCGATTTTTCCCTTCTCTCTGTCAGTTGAGACCACATCTGGAGTACTGTCTTTAGGGAGTTCCAGAACAAGAGAGACATTGATGTACTGGAGTGAGTCCAACAGATGGCCACCAAGATGGTTAAGGGCTGAGCTACGTGATGTACAAGGAGAGGCTGACTGGATTTCTTCAGCCTTAAGAAGAGAAGGCAAACCAAAGATCTTGCTGATGCTTATAACAACCTGATGGGAGGGTGCTAGGGAAAACAGAGCCACAGTGGGAAGACAGTGGGAACATGACATCTTTCAATAAGATATAAAAGAAAAGTTTTATACCATGAGGATAGTCAAACACTGGAATGCATTGATCAGAGAGGCTGATTAAAATACAATTTTCTAAATATTAGTTAGGCCCTCTCTTAAACAAAAAAACCAAACAATATTTGAATGAATTCTGGTTAGTAGGCCGTGATGCCCTCTACAATTTTGTTCAGTTGCTATAGAGTACTCTCGAGCATCTTCTGGAAGAGGTCTGTAGGCAGCTGTTTGTAAGTTTGTACAGAAATAATTGAGTTGATGCCTGATAGAACAAATGAAATTTTGAAAATGTCTGGTGAAAGCCTATTAAAGATACCCAACTATGTTCATCAGATAAGGTATGATTAACTTGTATGGCATGGTTAATGGAATAGTAGAGAACTGTAAAATAGTATATTTTATTATTCCAGTTGGAAAAAAAACCCCAAACAAATAAGGACTTATATTCCCCAAAGTATCACATCTTAAATGTGTATCAGTTGGTTCAATAAAAGTAATTCTCTTTGTGTAAGACTTTGCCTTGCTTCTCTCTTTAGACTAGTGGCTTGAGTAATATTGCTGAAATCTCTAAAAGCATTGTTTTCCCCTTTAGCTGTCTAACACTTTCAGAGTTCTTGTCATTATGGGGACTGGAGAAATCTAGGAACTTACTATAAAATTATATTTTTGCTGTTTAATTTCAAGGGAAGTTATCTAAGATAGTCAATATAGCTGGAGAGAATAAAAATGAAAATGATTCTGTGCCGTTTCTAATAGCAGTTGTTGGTCTTCCATCCTGATTGCCTGCAATTCTGGGATGAGATGATCTTAATTTTTGAGCTTTTGTTTGTTTTTGTTTTTTTCCTGGCCCTACCCTGAAGGGGAGCAACGTTGAGATACATGAAATCCATCAGGGCAAAGTATAATGGAGAACACAGCTGATACTTCAGATAGGCATAGGGTTAGAGAGGTTACTGAAGGGCATAACAGCTTTTGCTGATACTTTGTTCTGTTTGGGACATTTCCTCTGAATGAAGAACAAGTCCAGAAGAGCTGTGAGTTTCTTGACCTCTGCATCCCCTCCCTGCCTTTCCAGTGTGGAGCTCTGCTTAGGAACTTACTGTTAATCAGAATTGCACTGGAATTTTCTATGCATAATAGGTAATCATAGCCAGGTTTTCTTTGTGGATTCCTTTATTTCAAAGTGATACATTTTTTTGCTAAAGCTTGTTTTCATTTCATTGCAACACTAGCAATGTTACAGACTTGATTTTCTGGGGAACTTATATTATTTGGTTTCTTTGGCTTAATAGTCAGATAATATATCTGTTTTCTACTGAATGTCCTCTTAGCTTTAATGGGAATGACATGGATGGGTTTTTTTATTTATTTATGTTCTCACCAAGAGCTGCAAATGCGGGTCAGACTGAACTTATGTTGAAACCTGTTTGAACTGGCTAACTTAGAAATGATAATTTCTTTTTTGCCTTTAAAAATGTAATTCTGTTTACTGTGATACTTTTGACCCAAAGTGTAAATAGTATCTTCTGTGACTTCCCTGGGATGCATTTTTGGATCATTTTTTATGAGAAGCAATGTGTTATCTGTATGTATTATTTGTGTGTAATGGACAGGACCCTCTGACAGTGTTAGCAAATGTTTAAGATCAGAGGAACAGAGCACTTCAGTGGTACTCTGCTGATCAAGTACACAATTTTTTTTTTTCCCCTTCGGTTACTGGTCAGTTGTTTGGTTTGGTTTTTTTTTTTTCTTAGAAAGATCTATAAATATTATATATGAGAAGCAATCAAAGAGAATATCTTTGCACTGGTTAGATGGATAACAGAGTGAGGCTGTATTAGACTGAAAAGATGGTTGCTAGAGAAAAGAGTCAAAGGTTCAAACTTCAAATGAGATTATATTTTAAGTGTTGATAAGTTTAAGTGTTGATAAGACATTTAGTAGGTTACAGAACAAACAAAATTTCCTCTTTTCAAATTGCTGTGCTTGATCAGATACTGATACCTTAATGTGGCTGGTTTTTAATTTTAAAATGGATGTTAGGCTCCTTTTTTATAAAGACAGAGTTGTATAGTTGGTCTACTACTGAATTATTTGTTCTTTACTATTTTTTTTCTTAATGTTTCCAAATCTCCTCTTTAAGGG